GACGCTCTCGTCGCTCGAGGTGGACTTGGGCTCGATCTGGTCGAGCGCGCTGGCGAGCATGGCTCGCGCTCCCGAGGACGACGACACGCGCGAGACGCTCTCGGCGCTGGGCGTGGCAGGCTTTGTGCTGCACGTACACCTGCTCTACTCGGGGTATGCGCGAGACCGCCCGTCCGAGTGGAAGGGCGTGCGGGCCCAGACGCAGCTCGAAGCTGCGCTGCCCGTGGCGCTGCTCGCGCTCGGCGACCAGACCAAGGCAGCGGCCTCGCCGGAGCTCGACGAGGGCAAAGAGGACGCGCTGGCGGACACGAGCCTGGTGTGGATGCAGTGGTGCATGCACGGGCTGGAGCGCGACGCTTCCACAAGCCGGTACATCCTGTCTGCCGACTTAGCCTCGTGCTTGGCGCAGACTCTGGCTACACAGAGCGTCATCTCGCCAAGCCCATCGGCGCGGCTGATCCGCTTCAAGCTGCTGACGAGTCTGCTGGTGGATCGGTGCGAAAAGGCGGTGAGCGTCCGGGTTCTGGGCCAACTGATCAGCGAGTCGCCGTTTGCACAGCTCCGAGCCGGAGCCATCTCGATCCTTCGCACTGCGCTTGCCGCGTGGACGGCGCCGATGCAGGCGGGCCATGACAGCGACGAAGTGCCTGTGCAGAGCATCGTGGCGTTGCTGGGTCAGATTGCTGTCGTGCCAGCAAGGCTACAGCTGACCGACGGTGGAGATTCAGCAGAACACAAGCAGGCGCAACTCGAAGCGGTGGCAGAAGAGAGTACGGGTTTGATCGAGACGCTCTCGCTCCTGTACACCCTCGAGACGCAGAAGAAGGCCGGCGTTTCGAGCCCGGCACTCGACGGTATCGTCAGCGGAATCGACGGATACAAGGCATCCTTTGTCGAGCCGCTCGCTGCGGTGGTGGAGGGACTGAGCTCGGAGCCCAACGCATCTGGTGACAGCGCGGCTCAGCAGCGCATGCAGCTCCAGCTGGTGCAGAGCGCACTGCATCGTCTTCATTCTTTGTAGTCGTCGCATCTTAGTGGATTCACGAAATCTTACGAGCTTTTCTTTTGGCATTTGTATGAAGGAGTGGAGGCGCAATTGGGTTGAGGGGATCCACTGTGCGAAGATGTGCGGGTTGTACGATGGAGTGGCGGGATTGTGAAGGTCTATTGGCTGTCGTCGTCTTTGTCTTTGACCTGTTTGATGCCTGGGTAGACGATAGCTTGAGCGGCAAGGATTGCGGGGACTGCGACTTCGAGGATGGCGTGTGGGCCGAGGGGGTATGAATTCGAGGTATGTTTGCTGAGACGTTCTGCGTAGAGGGTAGCATAGAGGGCTGCTGCAACGACGGGCTGTATGACAGCTGTGATCTTGAATGTTCCAGCGTAAGTCTTGTTGCGGTAGTTGAACCAGGCCTGAGCTAGTTCCCCCGAGTGTTTGAGCGAAGCACCAATAGCAGCAAACACAATAAAGGCTGCTTGGAGTGTTGAAGAGGTGCCGGCTTGCTGTGTTCCCAGTGCATCGTCGATAAAACACTCATCGTGAGATGCCCAGTGGAGAACTCGATCATCAGTGGCGATTTGAAACACCACAATCAGCGCAAAGATCTACACCAACACCCCCGTCAGCCAGTGATTCTGCAAGATAAGGAGGGGGGCAGGGCTTACCAGATAGAATGGGCTTTTGTTGATCGATTGGGCGACGGCGATGGATGAGCGTTCATGGCGCGTCAAACGGCGACGACGAAACGCCAATGGATTGCGTTTCCACCACTTGGCCACGGAGAACTTCGGTGGTCGTTCAAGGTGCAGGATCGTCGGTACTTGGTACACAAGGTAGACAAGTCCGAGCAGATAGAAGAAGAGCTCGACGACCGAAAACTTTGCGTCGGCAAACACTGGTCGAAGTAGCCAGATGATAAAGCCGCCGACGTGGAGTAAGACGTGCGCCCATTGGGCTTCGATCCACAGCCCGGTGCTCGTGGCACGTGTGTACCAGTACACGAACAACACTGCTCGATGTCAGCTCCAAGTTCAAAGGGTCAGGGTGGAGGGCAGGGACTTACGAATCGGATCGGCAAACTCGTTCCACACTAGCGTGGCGAGACTGCTGGCGACTAGTCGACCCGGTCGGTCGGACGCATGGTAGCGATCTCCCGTCATGAACCCTGTTGAACCTCAACGTGAGCTTGAGTGAACTCCACACGCAAAAGCAAAGGTCGTAAGTACTTACTGTCCATCGAGGTGGCCATGCCCATGTCAGCGATGATGTTGGCCACGATCTCCTTGTCGCCCTCCTCGCCCTTCCCGAGCGGAGCAGGTCTGGGGCGGTAGAACGTCGTCGACGCCGACTCTGCCAGCGACGCACGCGCCACATGGTGAGCAGACAGATAGATGCTCCAGTCGAACTCCATGTACTCCCTCTTGTCGTCCAGGCTGACGGGCGGGATCTCGCACTGCGCACTGGCGTTGCTCCTGAGCGCCTGTGCCAGCGGCTCGCCCGGCAGCGGCACGTGCTTGGGGATGCGTCGCTTGGAGTGAACTGTTCCGAGCAGATGCATCTGCGTGAGCACGGGCGCATAGTAGTGCGCCTCTTTATCCGCTTCCGGTGCGAAGGTGAGCATCGTCTCGAAGGGGTGTTGGCGGTACGCACGTTCGCACAACCCCCCTACGCGCGTACTGCACGCATGAGCCGCACCCACCTGCGCCGAAAAGTGCTGCGCCTGGTATGTGGCATTTTCGAAGACGTCGACGGAGCGGACGATGCCAATGCGGCTGCGGGTGCGCACGTGCGGGACCATGATGTCCCCGCGATAGCCCAGCAGCTCCGGCATCCCTTCTGGCTGCGTGTCGGCCGAGATGACGGGATGGAGGAAGCGCAGTTGGGCAGGATGCGCACTGAACATGGCGCTGGCGCGGTCCATGTTGATCGTAGAGGCCATTGGGTCGCCGTTGGCATTGGCGCGGAACCAGGGCGAAGGAACGAGCTCGAGCAGCGGCGTGCTGACGCCCACATCGGCCAGCGCCGTATTGAGGTCGCTCTCGGCCGGTCGTAGCGTCGCATCCTTCCTGCGAGGCAGCATCGGCTGCCCCGATCCAAAGATGTAGGATACGTTGCGGAACGTACCCAGCTCCGACGCTTCGTTCTCGGGCACCGAGAGGCTGAATGTAGCGCGCAGCGACGACGGGCCGAGGTTGGGCGTGTACAGCGGCGCGATGGGCACGCGCAGCGGGATCGACGTGTGGACCTCGTCCGCAAGGGTAAGATCGCCGCCGATCTGACCCTCGTAGACGATCGCTTCGGTGCGGGTGTAGTTGTCGAGCGACAGCAAGCCGCTCTGTTTGGGCAGGACGGTCTCGACGAGCTCCCAGGGCGTGTCGCGCTCGGGCAAGCTGCCACCGCGCGCGAGAAGGTCGGTGACGTCCTGCCACACGGTTGCGTGCATGTGGAACGTGGAGCGCGCATCGATGAGCGGATGCACCTGCGAGGCGTTGAAGCGCTGCGCATGATGCGAGGCGAGCGCATGGTGTCGCGTAGGATACATTGTGTCTTTGATAATCTGGCGCGCCAGATACCCGATGCCCAGGACGACGGCGCCGCCCAACAGCGTCAGCAGCACCACAGCAGTGACCGCACAGCAGTGCAGTCCACCGCCGCCAGAGCGCTTCTTGGCGGCGCCATCGACTGGGATGGACGACTCGTGGAAGACGAGCGGCTCCTGCTGCTCTGCGTCCATGTTGCGACGATGGTCGGGCTTGGTGGCCTCAACTCAGCTCGGCTCGAGATGAAGGTGGGAAAATCCAGGGTCCAATCGGGATCCGGTTCGGGAAGCACGCGTTGTGGGCGGGCCGCTACGACAAAATCCTCGAGATGCCGACCAGAGTCGACGACGATGGAGGAAGCTCATCAGGATGCGTCGCTTCGGACCAATGCGCAGAAAGCTCAGTCGGCGGATAATCATGCATGAGGCGACGAGAAAGGACAGGCCGACGCGCATCGGATCCGTCCGGTCCATATTGAAGATTCATGCGAAGTGCGGACGACTTCCGCCGGACGACTAATTTCGCAGAACAGGCAAAGACGGACGCAATCCATTTCGGCGGCACTCGGCACTCGGCTCATCCGCTGACGAGCCGCTGACGATAGATCGGCCGTCGGGAATGCCGCGACGCGTCCCTCGATCGGGAACGAAGTTGCGATGCGACCGATTCGATCGACCGATTCGATCCAATCGATCCACTCGATCGTCCGCTCCTGTACATCAAGTGAAGTCCAAGGCAACCGGATGTCGGCGCAGTGGGTTGATGCCAAAGTGGGCGTCGCAGTTGTAACGGCTTCGACTGCGATGTGTCATTGTTCCTCGATGCTGCATATGAGGAAACGGAAAGCCATTGTCACAGCCCAATCTGGCAGCGAGATTGCCGGATCGGCAGGTCATGCGACTAAATCCACTCTGCCATGTTCGACAGCATTTGCGGAGAGGACTGCGGGGGGACGTTGACCGGTACAGGTCGCGTTCGCCGGTGGTGGCGGTGGTGTGTCAAGGTTTGGATCGACGCTAGCGTGTGTGTTGACCTCGGCAAGCTCGGTTATCTACTTGTTCTGCGGCGGCGTGGGGTAAGGGTCGCCGGTGGCGTAGCAGCCATTACAGCCCCTCGACGCGATCCCACTGGTGTGGTTCAGGATCGTGCAACTCCAAAGCCCACCGCTGCTTGCTATACCTTTGCAAAAGAGGCGCTTCACCCCACCTGACGCCCCAAACATAGCCTTTGCACCCTGCACGAAGGTGGGCGGCTCGCCGAAGAGGGGTAGAAGCCCGCTCGTTGTCGTTGCGCCCTAGCGAGCCGTGCTACGTCTTCGTAGCTGCTCTGCAGTACTATATATGGGCAGCTTTCGTGAGTCGGAGCGCATGAACAGCACCATCCATCAATTTTCCAGGCTCGTCCAGCTTGTCGCTCCTCCGTCCTCCGTCCAACACCCTTACCCTCCAAGACATCCAGCCATGCGTTCCTTCTTCTGGCAGGTGCTGACCGCTGGTCTGCTGGCCACCCCTATCTCCCTGGCCACTTGTCAGGCCCCTCCTCCTGGAGGCGTTGACTCTCTGGCCAGTGGAAACCATTGGGCTCCTCCGCCTCATGCTCAGCCAGGCATCCCCCCTTCGCCCCAGGGCCAGCCAGGCATCCCTCCTTCGCCTCAGGGCCAGCCAGGAATTCCTCCTTCGCCTAACGCTCAACCAGGCATCCCTCCCGCCGCTGGGCAGGGCAACCCTCCTGTTGGATCGGCTTTCAACCCGAGAGATGGGTGGGGAGGCTTCCAGCCCGAGTCTGGCTTCTCCGGTACGCCGACCAAGGCGCTCATGTACACGTACGTGCCAAAGTCGTTCAAGAAGGGCAACCCGGTCGTAGTTGGTGTGCACCACTGTGCGGGTACGGGTCCTGGCTACTTCCGCGAGTACCCGGACTGGCCCAAGGCGGCCGAAGAGAAGGGCTTCATGATGATCTTCCCCAGCTCGCCTGGTGAGACCGGTGCCTGCTGGGACGTTTCTTCCGCCGCTTCCCTCAAGCACAAAGGCGGTGGAGACTCTCAGACCATCGTCAACATGGTCAAGTACGCTCAGACCAAGTACGGCGCGAGCGACAAGAAGGTCTTCGTCGTCGGACACTCGTCGGGCGCCATGATGACCGAAGTGCTCGCTGCGGCCTATCCGGATGTCTTTGTCGCTGGTGCAGAGTACTCGGGTGTTCCAGCTGGCTGCTTCAAAACCAACAAGCAGGCCGGAGCTGATTGGAACAGTGCCTGCGCTGGAGGTAACGTTCGTGAGTCGCCCGAGTACTGGGGCCAGCAAGCCAAGGACATGTACCCCGTAAGTAAAACAACCTCGTTCTCGCTAATCTGGAAAGGATGGATGTGAAGCTAACCGGACTTGACTTTGTTTCGATGGGCGAATAGGAATACAAGGGCTCCTACCCCCGTATGATGCTGGTGCACGGCAAGGCGGACCAGACCATCAATTACGAGAACCAGGTCGAGGCCGTCAAGCAGTGGACTTACCTGCACCACCTCGACGCCAACAAGCCCACCAAGCAGTACGACGACGCCCAGAAACCCAACTACCACGTGTCCGAGTATGGCCACGACGTCCTCGCCATCTCTGCCGATGGTGTCACGCACGACAATCCTGCCAGGGTCGACCTCACCGTGCAGTTCTTCGGTCTCTGAGCGACAATCCACCCGCTGGAGAGTGCGACCGCATCGCCCCATGCACGTTGAGTACAGAAGAGTACCGTAGCTCCACACATCCTGACGTCTCGTCATACTAGCTAGTGCGACGTCGCAATATCATTGAGTCATGACTTCAGCGAAGGTTTGGGAGAGGCATGCAATGATGGAATGGAAATTGAGCTAATGGTGCATGTAGAGGGATTTCCGCTGGATGTGATGGCGAGGACGGGTAATGCTGACCTCGCTACTCGTATCTGAAGTTAGGTTATGATGTAATTGCAAACCGAAGCTTCGCGGAAGATGACAGCGGAGATCGTCCGGCGGTATCGCCGAGCGGGATGGGTCGAAGCTTCCTTGCGAACAAGTGCCGGGCTCTGTATGAGCAGGGGAGTGGGCCCGCAAGTTGCTTTGTTCGTCGACGGGAAGTGAGCAATTTTTCGGAACTCCGCGTCCAAGGGTCCAACGCCCAGGCACCGCAGCTCTGTGCAGCGGCTCGTCAGTTTCCGCCTGTCGAGGCGAGGGCTGTGCACCCAACGGAACGGACAGCCTTCGCCGATGCCATGCACTGGCGATCAATCTCTGCAACTCAGCCCGTGCTTCTACAGCGTAGAAGGCGGCCTCCTTACCCACCGTGTTGTGTCCGTTGAGCCGCTCCAACACCGCAGCCGGCTGCTCGGATCACTTCGCTCGGCTAGGAGTGCAGCTCTACCGGCACTCCGCCGACTCATCTCCCCGTTCCGTGATTCCGTTGGAGACCATTCTGCCTTGCCGTGGGCTGAGCCGGCGGTGGAGGCAGCACAAGCCCTCAGCCGTCGCTCCGCCAAGCTGCACCATCGACCGGCACGTTTCACGGAGGCTCTGACGTCCAGGAACGCTTCCACCTCGGTAGCTGTGACGTACCGCGCAGTTCCGCGACAATTCCTCCCCGAGGTTGCCAAACTTCGCACAAAGTACTTTGTTCTACATGACGACCCTCGCCACCGGCCTTTACACGTCCGTCAATCGTAGAAGCTAGCACATGCGGTACACGCAGAAACGTCCTCTACTCTTGAACACAGCCAGTCGAAGTGCGAGCTAGAACGTATAAAGCAGCCTCGATTCAGCCGTCAATCCATCCATTCTCGTCAGCAAACCATCCACATCCCAGTCCTTCTCGCATTCAGACTCGATCTCCTACACGCAGCAAACACAATGTCTTTCCCCAGGGCTCTCCTCCTCTCGGCTCTGCTCGCAGCCGCGACTGTCAAGGCAGCTCCGCTGAAGCGCGCCACTACCTGCAAGGTCGATTCTGGCCATTACGGCTCCATCACCATCAATGGTGCGGCGCTGAGCCTCGGCAATGATGGCAAGTTCGTCGTCGGCGGCCAACCCCAGCAATTCAGGGCTGGTATCTGTCAGACTCACAACGAGGACCCCAAGGGCTACACCATCGATACCATTGGATACATCGTCAACGCTTACGACGAGTCGCAGTGTCTCACCGCCAGCGCTCTCGACCAGACCGGCGCCACCTTCTCCTTCCAGGACTGCAAGCTCGACGCCAACCACGCCGACGCCACCCAAAACTTCGCTTGGACCCAGGACTACGTCGCCAACTTCGCCAAGCTCTACTTCAACGGCGAGTCGAACAGCTATGTCAACGACACCAGCCACTCTGCCTACAACCTCAGGGGCGAGGGAGGTGCCAACACCGATCTCATTGTTGGCTACAGCCTCAACAAGCCTCAGACCATCCCCGAGACGCACTTCAACCTCAATTATATCCCTAGCTCCGTTGCTCTGCCCCCTCCCATCAAGTGCTCCTCTCAGAAGGTCGGCCAGATCCTCTTCAACAACCAGACCGCCGCATCCAACACCTACTCGGGCCCCATCAACGCCAAGTGGGAAGCACAAGCCGGCACTACGGACAAGTTCGTCTTTGAGCAGTGCGACTATTCTTCCGCAGGCTTCACTTCCAACGCCGACGTGACCTACGGTCGACTGCGACCCGGCACCGACCTCTCCAACGGAGAGTACAACTGCTACCAGTACACCGGTGACGACGGTGCGACCGGCTCCGACAACACCCCGTCGGCCTCTCCGTGGATCAACGGCCTCCAGGTGCAGGAGTGCTGGAACTCGGCTGACAACGCTCCTGGCGAGCAGCTCGTCCGCCTCAACAACAACGACAACTCGTTCGCGTTCGTTCCCTTCCCCGCCGACCAGCCCCAGCCGGGCAACGAGTACTGGTACACTCAAGGCGACTACGTCGACGAGTACGGCGTCACCCAGTACGTCTGGGATTCCGCCGGAATCGGCCAGGTCTACCTCGACAGCTCCAACGCCAACCTCACAAAATACCCACCTGGCAAGGTCACCTTCCAGACCAGCTGAACAATTCGACCAGCAGCTTCATATGGTCGCTGCCTCGCATAGACGCAATTATAGAAGCACATTCTCGCTTTTTCTGCCTCTTGTGACTATAAGTCTGTGTGGGTGGCGCCTTTCCGACCCGGTTGTGTGATCCATGTCGAACCCCACTGTCGTTGCCAGGATATCGGCGCCACTGCTGATGAGACAGACGGCGGTGCTTCCAGAACGACGCCATAGCATCTACGACACAAGCTATGTGGGCAACAGCGTGTGGCAGTCCGCCACGATCTGCACGTGCTTCAGTCCGCATTGGTTTCGGCTTGGTGGGCTGACAAGGAACAAGATTAAGTCTCAGTGGGAGACATCGTCGTCAATCTCTGGATGATCGGCAGCATGACTGCTCCGTACATCAAAGGGTTCTGGTCACAACAAAGATGCAAATAAGGTACGTCTGACTGTACGTTCTGGCGAAAGTAGGTGGGGCGAAAAGAATTACATTCAGCCACAGATAGCGCCTCGATCTGGTGGGCTGGGCCCCTCATTTCGTACGCCTCGCCGTACCGAGATGAAGTCAATGTGGGCCAAAGAAGGGTAAGCTCCAAAACATCGGTGGGCCAAAGCGTGCCAAGGCCACGGCACGCTCTCGGCCTGCTAGGCGCACGGACACTCTTGTGGGCGTACAAGGCTCGAGAGCACGGAGCTTCACTGTTGCGCTCTCGCTGTCGAGGGCATGCCTTGAACGTATAAGAATGGCTCTGTTCTAATCATCCCCTCGTTCCTCCCCATCGCCTCCCGTGTCCCTAAAACCTACCTTCCATTCCATCCTTCCCCCTCTCCGCTCATCAACGATGGTCTTCAAGAAGTCCCTGCTCATTGCGGCCCTTGCCACCGCCATCAGCTCCGCACAGGCTGCCGAGCCGGCCTGCAAGTTCCAGGCGGGCTCGTGGAATGAGCTCAAGATCAGCGGCCAGCCGATCGGTGTGACTCACTCTGGTGACGTCGTCGTTGGCGGTGCTCCTCACCTCTTCTCGTACGCGGTCTGCAACTCCAAGACCACCGGTACCAAGGCCAAGAACCAGGCCGTCGAGGGCTACATCGTCGACGCCTACAACACCACCCAGTGTCTCAGCCTCGGCAAGAAGGAAGCCCAAAGCGCGCCGATCACCCTGTCCCCCTGCAGGTTCAACAAGCAGGGCCACGTCGTGCACTCGCAGACCTTTGCATGGATCCCCAACGGCCCGGACGCTGTCAACGCCACCGCTTACTTCAAGGGTGTCAACGACGAGCCCATCTCCAAGAAGAGCCCGCCCAAGTACACTCTTCACTACGAGCTCCAGCACCCGGGCCTCAACGGACAGCTCGGAAGGCTCATGGCCGACTACACGCCGAACCTCAAGGCGCTGCCCGAGGGTCAGCTGACTCTGTCTCTGGAGAAGCACACCGGCGAGCTGCCTGCTAAGCAGGCCGTTCTCAACTGCACTGAGATCATCGAGGGCCAGCTGATCTACAGCAACGCTACCGCCCGTGGCAACACCTACACTGGTCCCCTCAACGCCATTTGGGAGGCCGACGCCAAGAGTGCCGACAAGTTCCTGTTGCAGAAGTGCGACTACTCGTCGCTCGGCTTCACCGAGACTTCCAAGTACGCCTATGGCCGCCTTCGTCCTGCTGCGGACAAGGCTAGCGGCTTCGTCACCTGCTACAGCATGGAGGGTCCTCTGGGCGGATCGGGTCCCACTGCTGTGCCTGCTCGTCGTCCTCACATCACCTCGATCGTGCCCAAGCCTTGCACGTTCAACGTGGCCGCGGGTCGCGACCTCGTCAGGTACAACAAGCAGACAAAGACCGTCAAGTTCGTCCCCTACCCTCACCTGCGTCGCACCGGTAGCCTCTACTGGTACACTCAGGCCGACTACGACAAGAACTTCCGTGTCGAGCAGAAGCTCACCAGCCCTAAGTTCATCGGCCAGGCTTACCTCGACCACAACAACGTCTTCCTCACCAAGTTCCGCCCCGGCAATGTCACCTTCCAGGCTGATCCTGTTCTCAACGCCCAGCCCGCTACCAAGGTTGAGCAGCCGGTCAAGGCCTAGAGGGCTGTAGTTGCACATTCTCGTCCTGTCTTTTGCCTCGGTACATGTCACGCCCTGCACCATTTTGTCGTCCAAGTTCAGCTCTCTGATTGAAACAATGGTGAATGTACGCTTCTTTGCGACGACGTGCTAGAGGTTCCTTGTCATCTTGAGGCTCTTGGGAGGATGCCGAACTTGACGTGAAGGCGCAGGACCAGCCCGATTCCGCTCCTTGGATCTCTCGATGGGGGGAGATGCGGCGGAAAAAGCGCAGCTTATCAACTAGCCAAAGACGGCGTAACATAAGTTATCGTAGAAAAAAATGCGCTGAGCTTTTCTGCATGCGTCGCCGTGTTTGAGGAGAAACAGAGGCGCCTGGCGGAGCGCGAACTGAGCTTTGACTCCGCTTGAATCTTCGTCTTTTACGCCCACGCCCACTGCCCTAGCGGCTAGGCGGTGAAACGGTGGCTAATGCTCTCTCCAGCCAGATGCGTCGATCGGTGCTGGCAGCTAGCCAACCGGTGGCCGACGGAAAGATCGAGACGACGCTCCTGGCCAAGCTCGATCGGGTATGCAGTTCATCTCAACTCGCTGACGCTTCGCGGATGGCTGTTGCACGGAAGAATGTTCTAAACTGAGGTATAGATTAATGGACCTTGCGATGACATGAAGACCAAGTTAAGAAGATATACAGAGCATCTAACGAGACTGTGCAGCTTAGATGGGGATGCCAGGGGCAGTGAGCGGGCGCGAGAAGTTGGAGCGAGAGAGGCTCGACGAGTGGCGGAGCATCTTGATCCTCAGCTCGTCCGAGTTGAAGTGAGCAGGGGGAGCGCGCATAGGGCTCATGGGACGAACGCTGCTGGGCCTGATGACAGGCGACGAGACCGGCGATCCACCAACAGGGGTGACGGGCACCGATACCACCGCACCGGCGGCACCGGCAACATCGCCAAAGTAGTCGGTAGAAGATTTGGGCGAGCCCGACGTGGATGAGAGCTGTGGTGTCGATGGAGCCGAGACCTCGCCGAGGAGCATGCACGAGAGGCGGCGCGAGACGTTGTGCACGCCCGTAGCAGGGCCGACCTCGACAACGTGCTTCTCGGGGATGTTCTGCTTGACGAATTGGTCGAGCGTGAGCTCGGCGATCGACAGTGCAGGGTCGGTGGGGAGCGAGAAGTAGCGCGTCTTCGTGGGCACCGATCGAGTGAGGCCCTCGGGGCGGAAGGGCTGCTTGGAGCCGGCCTTGAACTTGGCTGCCTGGAGCGCGGTGACCTGAGCGAGGTACGAGACACTCTTCTCCCAGGTGCAAACCGCCGAGACGGGCAGGTAGGGGCGCTTGGCCTTGACAGTCGCCTTGGTGGCGAGCATCTTGACGAGCTCCCAAAGCATATCGACTGCGGCAGCTTTGATGATGTCAGGACGAGCAGTGGCGGCAGCGGCTTGAGACGAGCCGAGAAGGTCTGCGACCGAGACGGCAGGCACCTCAATGCGGCGCATCTTGACCTCGACGAAGGCCGTATATTCGCCACAGCCGGCACCGTCGCAAGAGCGGCAGGTGGAAGCCTTCTTGCCCTCGCAGGCCATGCAGCTCAGCTTGCCCTGTCCCTGGCATCGACCACAGCGGCGGCGACCCTTCTGCATACCCGAGCCCGAGCACCAGAAGCACTCGTTGCCCGCCTCGCCGCGGCAGGTGCGGCACGTCTCATTGCCAGAGCCGGAGCATTTGCGGCAAGCACCACAGGTGTTGCTGCGAGGGAGCTCGAGGAACTTGCGCGTCTTGGTCTGGATGGTGCTGATGTCGAGACCCTCGTGGGTGATCTCGAGGTCCCAAGGGTTGGGCAGCTCGGGGAGGAGAGGAAGCGGGGTAGCGCCAGAGCTCCTCTTGGGAAGAGAAGAGACCTTCTTCCATACGGTCGATCGGCTCTCGAGCACAATGACGGCCTTGACGAGCGAGTGGACCTTGCTGCCCTTGAGCTCGACCTTGAGCGCATCCTGTCGTGCCTTTCGCTCGGCGGCAGAGATCTCCTCCTTCTTGGTGGGGGGAAGAGGGGAGCCGTCCTCGCCAAACATGCGCGCCGGGGGCTCGGCGAGCGAGGGGAACTTCTGAGCAAGAGTGGACTGGGCCGCGGCGAGGGAAGGGGGGTCCTTGGTGAGGGTGGAGACGCGGAAGACGATGTCATCGCGGGTCAGGCCGGAAGAGGGAAGAGGGCAAGCACCTCCAGAGAGGCTGCTGGTCTCGGAGGAAGACTGCGGCGAGGAGGAGTAGCGCTCTTCAGACTCGACCGACTCGACCGACTTGCCCTTCTCTGCACGCGTGTATCGGGGCTGCTCGTCAACTACCTCGACTTCATCATCGTCCTCGCCGATCGAGTCTACCTTGGCCGCACGAGCAGCCGGGTGCAGAGGCCCTCGCACGGTGGCTGCGAGGTTGGTCTGGTAAAGGTCGATGAGCTCATCCAGCGCAGTGTCGTCGCTGGAAGCACGGCTGTAGGGGTCAAGCTTGAGGGCATCGTTGAGGTAGCCGAGATCGGAGAAACCAAGGGCGTTGTGCTCTTGATTGATGTTGTGAGAGCCGTGCATAGGGCGCGTGGAATGGGGAGCGATGATACGGATCACCGGCTCTTCATCGTCAGAGTACGAGCTGTGAGTCGAGACGGAGCGTTCCGACTCGGTGCAGAAGGAGTTGGGGCTCGAGAAGATCGACTCGTTGAACGCCTGCGAGCGAGGCGAAACCGACTCGTAGGAGTAGTTCGACATTGTTCAAAAGTTCAGGACGGACTGGTGTGGACAAATGGCAAGTGACCGCCTGCGGTACCTATACCTTATATGGTAGGGAGAGGAGAAGTCGAGTGGCGCTCCGGAGGCTTTGCTACGAAGCGACAGGAGCAAGCAAGCGAGGAGGCGAGCAAATTGAAGAGTGGAGAGTGTGGGAATGCTGTGAGATGGGTGGATAATGTGGGTGATGCGACAAGAATGGCTCTGGCATTATATGAGGTGTCGCAGGCACGATGTCATGGCTTGGGCTCGGATAGGAGCCCACTAGAGGAGCCGTTGACGGTCTCAGAAAGTGCACGGCTGATCTGAAGGCAAGTGGCAGCGTGGGAGAGCTGTGTCGGGTAGGGCATGAGTGGCAGGATGCGGAAGCGAGCTACAGGCAAGAATTGCCTTCCTGGAGAGGTCATCTGGGTTGGATGCCGTGGAGGCGACACGCAGTCTCGGAAGGGGCTGCATGGAACCCCGACTAAGCGCGAGGACGAGGTGTCAGATATCGCCATGAGGTGGCTGGAGAGCGCAGAGCCTAGCGGGCTTGGCAGGGGCAGTGGACCAGATGCCGAATCGAGAGGACGAGAGGACGAGAGGTGGAGAGGTGGGGCGTTCGGATGCGTGTGTGAGGCGGGCCGTGTGGCTGGTGGAGATGGGGCTCGAAGCATCGAGTGTCTCAGGGATTTTAGAGGCCGACAGGCGGCACGCTGCAAGCGGCTAATGGTCGTGCAGCCCAAAGACGGCGTTTCTGTCAGATGTCTCGCCTAACGCAGGGTTGCAGTCGGAGCGGAAGCAGAATCCGAAGCGCCCGCAGCGGCCACAGAGCGAACTTTAAATTCAATTTAATTGCAGGATTAAACCCAGTGCTTCGGACGCTGTGCTTTTGACATCAACCTCAAACGCAACTTCGCCGCGGTTGCTACGAGACCGAAAGCTTTCTAGCAAATCCGATGTCACAAAGCTCAGAGGTCGTGCCATTGAGAGCGTTCGTCCCCTGTGAGAGGTTTGCGAGGTCTTGCTGAGTGTTGGTGCTGCATCGAGCGTGTGGATGACTCCAGCAGTATGACGGCTGTAGTTGCTCTTGGAGCGGCGAGCATCAACGGGCACCAAAGCATGAAGCCTGTAACAATAAGGCACACGGCATTTCAGCGTGCGCTAATCTGGCGGTGATCCTCTGACACCAGCGCTGAGCCTGCAGCGGAAAGAGCGCGGTAGGCCAGACCGCCAGCCCTGAGGCGTGCAGACGCTCAGAGCGTTGGCCCAGCGGTGTCGGTGATCCAAAGTGCAGCCGGTTTTAGATTGGTGGTCAATGTCTCGGACGGCCACATGCGCTGCTCTACGGCCATCCGCCCTCCAGTCCGCCACGCTCGTCGAAATTCCTTTCCCAGATTAAATCGAAAATTATCGAAAATCCCCCACAGCTTTGGTGAATCTCCGTCCGGGGAAGCCACCACCACCACCACCACCGAATGCAGCTTCCGGATCTACTTGCGCCAACACGCAGAACGACCGCCCAGACTTTCAACGTTTGTTATTGTACCTCTTCAAAAGGTGAAGTCGTGATTGATGCACGCAGTAGCAGGTGATAGAGGACATCGAAGTCAGGATGCCTTTGGTGCATACTCTGCTTCGACACGCCTCCAGCGCCGGCAAAGTGCGTGCTCTCGGCTAGCAGGCCAGGAACACGGTGTCAGCTCACCTCTGTGAGATTCATCGAGGCTTGGTCCGCTTTCACGGATCTTGAGTGTTCGATCTTCCAATGCGAACGAGGCTTGCATTCGAGCGCTTTGGACTCATTAAAGGCTTGCAGGTGAGGATAAGGCAAACCGTCGGATGCAGGCACGCTTTGATCTCCCACGCGCTCTAAGCGAGGTGGCAGAACGCGGCTGGTACCTGCAGGGGTGATTCGAAGCTTGGCGTAGAAACGACTCCAACTCTCTTTCGCTCCTCTCCGCTCTTCATCATGGCGATCAAGCCTTGCATCGTGTCTGGTTGCCAGAGAAGGAAATCGAAATCGAAAAGGGTGAAATGTGGCCCTCCAATTCACGTGCTGTATGATCGACGAGCTCCAATGAACTAGCTGTTCGCAGTGTCAAAGCAGTCATAGGACTACTTTCTTCGCGATCGCGTCAAAGCCCACAGGTGTGGAAAGTGCCTACTCTGAATCTTTGCGTCGAGGGACAGGAAGAGGAGCGAGTTCCCAGGTTCTGGTCTCTCGCTTCGAGCCCGGTGACACAGTTCAGCCCCGCCAAGCGCCAGACCTATATGGCGCCTATCAGCGGAAGCACGTGAAGAGGTGCAGCTACTGGGTGCCCGCCCGTTAGATTCAGGGACTGAGCGCTCCTGCCGCTCAGCTCGCTAGCTCCGGGGCCCGGATGGCTCCCAATGCAGAGCAGTTTACAGAAGTCTGGAATGGGCGCGAAGTGTCGCGCTGAGTTTTAAAACGGTCAAAGAATGCATAGCGGCCGTGATCTGGCTTTGTGGCGGCTCTAAGCTGCAACTCCGCCCAGCCGCGCCGACAATGTTTGCCCTCAGAGTCCGACCGCAGGCCGAACGCAAGCGGAACGGCACGCATGCGTACATCTATCTCAATCGAGGCTTGTTTCTCGCAGGCCTTGGGAAGCTCACGCTTCACAAAGTTCGAGTTTCTATCATCGCACCGCAACCGTAGAAGCAGACTAGTGCAGATTTTTAGCGTGTCAACAGATCTTCAGGGCCGACAAAAAATCCGTGAAAGCAGGAAGGACAAATGACGCTAGCGATTTATCTTCCTGGATTCCCATTGCTGTCAGCTTCTGCTCTTCGCATAGCAGTGGCGCACTTCGACGCTATGAGGCTTGGAGCATGCTTCCGGGACTTGCGTTCTGTCGATTCGGTAATATCATGATCGAACTTGCGCGAGGGAGAATTGCATCTCTACTGAATAGGAAATTCATTGAAAGGCATGCCTAAAAAGGGTACGAAAATGCGACTACAGCATAGATAGGTGAGTAGCCGGGTTCATGCGGCAGATAGGATACTCGCCTGTGATCACCCTATCTTCCCGTAAGGAAGGCTCAGGCGTCAATGCGTGCCGTGTCTTTTGACAGCTCAGAGTCTGCCGCCTGGTTATATGTGCCGCATACAGTAGGGTCGGACGAAGACCAAGGTGGCCCAAGACTGCGCCTGAACCAGGCGTGGGGATGAAATGAAAACAGATTAATAAAATATACTCGAATCGGGCAGGGCACAGAACGGCTTGTGGCGTCTGGTCTCGGGCGTACGCGGACCCGATTTTTTTCTCGAAGAGCCGGGAGGAGCGGGCCCAGACCCTCGAGACCCTTTCCGCATCCGATATCCGAAGAAAGAAGGGTTGCAACTGCCATTGCCTAATTTCAGTACGAAACGAAACGCCGAGGTCGCATGATAGTACTTTGGGCTCCGAGCAGATACTACACATTCTCTTGGCCCAGATTTGGCGCAGATTGCAGCACTCTCGAGTTCTTGTGCCAACGCGGTTTCGAGGCGGACGTGCTAGACTGATTTCCAGATCTTGCCATTCAAAACAAATTGGACAGAATTACAGTGCTGCCAGGGTTGCGAAGAGGTTTCCAGCCATACTGCGGTTTGCGGACAGGGTCTTGACCTGTATCTGCGACCGGCTTCGAGTGCACGTGTGCATCAGTTCGCCTTATGTGGGGCGATCGGAACGGGAGTCGAGCTATGGTCGCTCTACTTTGAAGCTCTCTCAAGACATGGGGCGGGCTCCGATTGTTTTTTGGTGTCGCATGCAGCATTCCCGGCTAGCTTGGGCCCAGAACGGATTCCTGCCGCGAGGGAGTCGCGCTCTGAGCGATACCGCAACTTTGCTGCCTTGATGGTACACCGTACATGCAGAACACGAAAGGACGAGAGTGCTTTCAGTACGGCCTTCTTGCATGGATCTCGACGATGGCCTGCTCAGGCGGTTCGCAGATAATCTGGGGTGGCTCGCCAAAGCTGATTGGCACGACGACGTCTCGACCTTGACGCACGTCGGGGTGATTTTCGATGCTTTCAGACAAGGACGTGCCTGTCACAGAGTATCAGGGAGAGAGTGACCTGATACTGTCATACGTCGATCAGTCATTGCTCGCACAATACATCGTAGCTGTCAACGGCACGTAGAACAAGGTGCACTGCCGGCAACGCAACATTTTCGATGAGCGGCCGTGCCATTGCACAAAAGCTAGTCTCGAATGGAAGCCCGACTCTGACACCTGGTGGAGAATCTGACTTTTGAATACGAAGGTTTGTATTTAAAATCGTCTTTTGAATGTGCCAATTTGAAGAGAAGATGCAATGATCGCCGTGCCTGCAGCAATTCGCGCATCGAGGTCTGGCCCTTTCCGACTTTTCGGGCCTTTTTCGGGCATCAGAGCCCACGTCGAACGGAAGGATGATGGCGCTTGGCGCCAAACTGGCAGTGTCTGCGTGCAGCGCAAGCGTGTCCGGACGCGTGTCTCACCACCTTTGTGGCTGGCCTGCCACTGTAGCCAAACTGCATCGCGGCAAATGCTCCGCTGTATTCATGTCTCAGCCATGAATACAATGAAGCCAAGCCGTGCGGCCACGGATGTCTCAGCAACCGGAAGTGGCAGCAGGCGCTCTCTGTGTGCGTCGGATTCAACTGCACGACAGGCCTGGTGGTCGGGTTTACTGAGACCTCTCAAGCCCAAGCATCAGCCCCGCCACAATAGCGTGGGTGTCCGAAGTCCTGCCAGCCATTGTGCGGCTATCAAGAGAGCCTTCAGAGCTGTGTAACTGCATCACGTCGAGGCGAGACCAGTGCCGCCGCCGCTGACGGCCTTGCTAAGTCACTCATCGGATCGCCAAATATGCGCACGTGAAGTAGGTGGTAGGCGCATCAACAGCTGGCTCCCGACACTGATTAATACCATTCTACACACTTGCTCACAAATAAGAGAGACCTGGGGGCTTGAGGAGCAAAATATCAAAGCTCAGACTCCTGAGACCGACGTCACGACCCTGGGGGCTGAGGACTAGGAAACGTTGTGTAGAGGCTTCCGATATAGGTTTGGTTCTGAGTGGATGGAGAGCTGGGATGCCGCCTCACGATCGCGCAGGAAATGCGGCGGCCCTAGTTTCGGGCTTCGACCAGCGTCTCAAACACGGCGTACGGCCGCACACCATCTGCTCGCATGTTATTTGAATTTTTCGAAAAAAGGACCGCGCTGTTCGCTCCAACAAATAAATTCAACTGCGATTTAGGGCATTTTTCGTTATTTCAATTTTGCGGCCTCGCGCTCGCGTTCCGCTTCCGTCGAGCTCAAGTGGTCTGGAGTGCGGGCTTGACGCGGAGTCTAGAATCGGTCTGACAGCAGCCAAGCATTTAGCGCCCAGACGTATCTCCGCTAAGCGCCTTCTTTGGCCCGGCACCTGGGCACAGACCAGACGAGGCGCCGCCGTTCTGGCATCTCCGCTTGCAGCAGCGGCAGGCCTTTGGAGAGACATTCTGTCAAATCGCCTTCCGGCGTCCCATGGGTAGACACTTTATTCGGTGCGCTGATCCGTCCCCGGTACACTTGCAGATCCCGCACGCAGCACAAAGCTGGCCCACTTTGGTAGTCTGCGGTAGACCTTGGCCCTGTCCCTTTGCGTCCAAGGTTTTTTAGCCCAAGTTTGTGTCGCCGACGTCTCGCAATCAAGATCCACTTCTGACGGTGGCCGCATCCATGTCGCGATGTCTCTGAACCAACTCGCCGTCGGCTAGCCAGTGCCCAATCCCGCCCTCCACCACACTGGTGCGCACCAGCCAGCTGCACCCGCTGCTGGCCCTCCCTCTGTCTCGGTCTAAGTTCTTCTGCATTCGCCTCCTGCTAATGGCGCCCTCGCCATATAAACCTCTTGCTCTGACGACGAACACTTGCGTCCACCAACCCCCCCCCCCCCCCCCCCCCCCCCC